ACTTCCCTAAATGGACCAATCTGGCCTTTGTGCCTGTTCACCACCGTTATCCATGGATCTGGACATTGTAAATAATTTCATTTACATATCCGCCCTCTAAGCAAATGGACAGCAAAAAGGTATTTACTAAACTTATCTAAGTAGCAAAAAAATAATAATAATAACCTATCTGGGTGCAACATGCAGGGCAACAGGTGACCTTGACTGATCTCAGAGAAACCTAAGCAGCATTAAACTGCTTTGATGCAACACCACCATGGATTCCAGTCTGTAAACTAGATTAAAAAATTGAACAACACTGCTTGCTGATGGCAGTGGCAATCTGGTTCCACATTGTGAAGAAACCTGTGTGACTACAAGTGAAGGGCTCTAGAATGTGTGGGGAAACCAAAACAAGTCTATTGCTTTGCGACTGGACTGGGTCACAGGCCAGAAGACAAAAATCCCTTTGTTCACATCTCCCACAGAGTGATGACAGTCGGGTGCTTTGCAAATTAGCTAAGTGAGCGGAACATTGCTTGGGCTGCTGAATTGTTTTCTAATGCAAATGACGTGGCAGGGACCTGTGGAGAAATCTCAAGGGGAATGCCCACCAAGAAACAAAAGAGGCATTGTAAAAAGAGCAACATTAGAATGATTGTTATGGGGAGAGCAGAGGGAGTGGGGGGACAGTTTTTGTGGAGAGGAAGAAATACTGGGGCATAAGACATTTGAAACTCTTTTCTTCTGATTACAAGACTAATGGGAAAACATGTCTCCAAATACCCTCAACCACTCATTTTGCAGTTATTCTTATTTTTTTATGTCTCACATCTCTAGGTCCACTGAACATAGGAGCAGGCTATGCAAAGCATCTGAGGAAGGTACTTCACAAAAATGCTAGGAGAACAGTGTTTCTCATTGCAATAAAAAAGACCAGTTCATATGTCTGAGACTGCCAGCAAAGCACTCGTGGATAACCAGAATTGTCTTCAAAATACCCAAGCAAGCTTTCAAAAGGACAGGGCTGCTTTATTGATTCAAGGAGAACTGCTTCTCTTCTCATGCACACAAGTGCTTTGCAAAGCACCTCTTTCAATTTATTTGCACGGCCCTATATATTAATAAAGGTTCCTGCAAAATAAGAGTCTTTGCAAAAAAAAAAAAATCTGACCGTGTTGCTGCTGAATTTTGGTAGTGTGATCTTGGAGCCCTTTGGAGGGCCATAGATGCGAGGCACGAGGCAACATGAAGTCCACAGGATAACCAGCCTATCCTGAATAGGTGATAAAGGAGAGAATTACTGTATTTGCACTGATCCAGGGTCTTCCCAGCAAAATCTGGCTTATTCCTGCTTTTGTTGTTAAACTCCAACAGATCTGAAATGCCAAAGAGGCAAGGCATCATTTGAGTTGGTGTGCATTTTCCTCTCTCCCTAGGTGTCCGTATGAGTCAGCCCATCCTACCCTTTCTATGTGTGCATCCAAGAAGAAAGAGAATTTGAGGGGGAGATGGCTGCTGGAGGGCAAGGGGGAAATAATCCATCATTTGTGAGATCAGCAATTGTTGGAAAGGAAAGTGGGTTTAAAGAGTAGTTTTAGATTTTGGACTTTATTTGTCACCTTTGCCTTACAATCAAGTTTTTGGACAAGTTGTTTAGCTTTCAGCTCACCGATTTACCTTCTCTGAAGTGGAAATAGGATAGCTAAGTCCACCACAGGAGTCTCTAATAAACTCTACGATGGCAATCCTGTCCTCCACCCCCACTCTTTCTCCAAAGGTAGTTCTCTGCCCTCCTGAGGGCTTCGCTTGGCAAAAGCCAAATGTCATTCAAGGGAAAAGTGGGAAGCAATTATGTGCCAGTTCACAAGCTCTGCTCCCAGAAGAAAAGCTCCACAAGAAGCCAAAGGCGGTCCTGTGCTCTGCTTTCTCTCCACACACTTTGTGGGCAACCGGTCCAGACACACTAAAGTAATTAGCATTGGAAGAACAAAAGGTAAAGCTACTCATCAAGGGAACAGGAACCTTACTGGTGGGCGGGGGGGGGGGGAAGGCAGGCAGCTGGAAGAGCTAAAGCACAACTGGGACTGGGCAGGTGGCTTCTTGGCTTGGCTGCCAGCCCAATATTCTTGGCTGCATCACAACTCTCTTCTGTCTTATTGGAAGCCTCTGGCAGTTGCAGCAAGATGTTCGCCTGCTGTTGGGCCCTGCTGGAAGAGCTTTGAAAAAAGCCAGCCAAATTAGGCAAAGTGGGGAAAGAAGAGAGAGAGAAGACGTATGTGAGAAACAGCAGCTCAAATGGTGCTGCCAGAGGGAGCAACAAGAGAGAAAGGACACTATTTAAGGAACTTCCTAGCTCAGGGGTAGGCAACCTTGGCTCTTTTATGACTTGTGGACTTCAACTCCCAGAATTCCTGAGCCAGCATTAGCTTCTTGCCTACCCCTGTCCAATTAGTGGGGCGAGACTGTAGAGCAGTGGTTCTCAACCTGTGGGTCGGGACCCCATTTGGGGTCGAACGACCATTTCACGGGGGTCGCCAAACAACGCAGTCCTCCATTTTTCCCCCCTTTTCCTTAGCTGTGCTACTCCCTTTTATTCTATTGGCTTTTGAAAGCCAATAGAATAGACTCTCTTGAATAGAGTCTAATTCTATTGGCTTTCAAAAGCCAATAGGAATTGTCCAGGTTGTCTCTGCCCTGCTGAGCCCGCCAAAAGTACCATTCTGCAAACGGTGCTGCACCAGTTGAGTAGTCCTCGACTTACGACCGGTTGAGTAGTTCTCGACTTACGACCGGTTGGGGGTCGTGGCATTAAAAAGGTTGAGAACCACTGCTGTAGAGCCAGAGATCCCCTGCAGTCATTGGGTGCAATTCATTCACAAGAGAAGTCATAAAGCCATCTCAGAAGAAGCTGTTGCCAAGAAAGCTCCACAATCGATGCAAAGAGAAGTGTTGCAATAAGTTTCTCCAAAAACATTGGGGAAAATGGAAAAGACGCTCCAACAGGCACAGTAACTGGATGCATAGCACGCTTAGTCAGCACAGATTGAAATTTGATCACTTTTTGAGAATCGTGAAAAGAAGAATTAAATGTATGATAAAATACTATGTATAGAACACAAAAATAGGAACCCTTTACATTCCAGTGTTGTGGGGAAAAAAAGCTGCCTAGGCCAGGGGTTCTCAACCTTGGCAACTTTAAGACTTGTGGACTTCAACTCCCAGAATTCCTCAGCCAGGTTACTGTCAGATACATAATCTACAGTATCTATGCAAGCATATGTATATATCTGTATACATAATGCACAACATGGCCTATATTATCCAAGAATTGAAGTTGTACTGTTCAGAAATATACATACTAGATTTTGGGAGGGGCATTTAAAAGGCAAAAGAGATCTGATTTAAAATTAGTGCTATCCTATTTCTTGTATTTATCACTTTTTTTTAACATAGCGCCAAATATTATATTTTTCACTAACAAATGAAGACAGTTCTGCAATCCATATTAAAGCTGGGGGGGGGGGAGGAAGCTTTTTAAAGGAGAGAATATACCATGCATATCTGCTGACCCAATTAGATGACAATTATAAAAAAGTTATTTTATTTGACATGCGTATGATGTTCAGAACGTCAGCATGAAGATAAGTCCATATATTCCCTTCCTCTTTCTCCCACCATTACAGGATCACCGAGAGAGACAGAAGTGATCAGTGCCTTTCCATGTTGTAGAGAGGCAGGTTTTTGGCTGTTGCTGTTGCCGTGTGGGGTCTTTCATAATCAGCACTGTCCTTCTTTGGGTTAGCAAGTCCAGGTGGGAGCCTGCTGCTAGTTCTCAAAGGTGTTTTTTTTTTTTTTTTCAAAATGCAACTGGACTCTTTTTTCCTTGAGGAAGGAAAAAAAACAGGGCTTTTTTTTCCTCATAGATCACCCAGAACGGAGTTCCGGCACCTTTTTTGGCTAGCCTTACCTTGTATGGTAGGCAAGGCGGGTTGCTTGACATGTGTGAGTTCGGGCACCTTTTTTTTTTTTCTCTCAAAAAAAGCACTGGAAAAAACAGTCCAGTTTTTGCTAGTGGCTGGTTCATCTGTGGCGCTAGTGTTTTGTACTACTGTTAAGATTTTTTAGTCAGTAGATGTGGATCATGTCTTTGCCAAGTGCTATCCAGCTTTTCATGTTCTTGACCTGCTGGTTTGCTACACCTGGTCTGCTACAGATAGTCCTCACTTTACAACCTGTCATTTTATAACCATTTGAAGCTATAATGACCTAGAAAGGATATGAAGGCCTCCTTTCTAGAAATCTGCTTGATGGTTGTAAGCTGAAGCCAATCATATCCAATATTGGGATGCTACTACAGGATTTGTAATCAACAGTCCTCCCACTATAACCACAGTGTTTCAATTCTTTTTCAGTGAGGCTGATTTTGTTCCCACTGAAATTGCTTTATCTGAAATATAAAGAATATTTAAAAATATGTATTTTAGATTTTCTGCCCAAACACAACAATATTTTGAGTTTGCCTGCCCATTGGCAATTGCTTCTTACTCATTCCTTCCTTTTCTCAGCTGATAGAAAAGGCCATGGCTTGAAAGTTCTTATCTCCCTTGGGAAGAATACAGAAATACTTTGGTTTCCTCTAAATCATGTTGAAGGCCACATCAGCTTGAATTAATCTGATGGGGAAAGCATAGCCTAGTTCAGGGGCAGGCAACCTTGGCTCTTTTATGACTCGTGGACTTCAACTCCCAGAATTCCTGAGCCAGCCATTCTGGGAGTTGAAGTCCATGAGTCATAAAAGAGCCAAGGTTGCCTACCCATGGCCTAGTTGGACATGAAGTGAGCAATGGGCTGAGGCCAAGGCTAAATGGATTAGGTCACCACTCCCTTTCCTGATTGTTTACATGGCATTCTTGAAATTAGTTGGGGTGGAAACCCTCTAAAGTAGGCCATCCTGATTTTATATAACCCTATATGATTCATTCATTTCACAAATCAGCTATCCCATCATAGATGCAAGCCAAGAATTCATAACTGCTTTTAATAAATAATTTAATCAGAAAATACAGTGAAACAAGGTAGAGAGGCTTTCCAGTGTTGTCAAAAGCAACCCATGGTTGTGGGTCAGGGCTGAATACATCAAAAAGAGAAGCCTCTCCTGTCACAATCATGTTCTGGGTACAGATAACCTGGTCTTTGCAGCTATAGAGACTAGAAGATGGCTCTAAGATAGACACAAAAGATGATGAGTGGTGACAGACCTGGCTGTGAACTCTACCATTTCAGATTGCAGCTAGAAACTGATATACCTGAATATTTCTACAAACAACCAAATCAAAGATCATTTCACTCCATGTGCATTCTAGAATGGTACATTCCAGGCCCAGGATTACTGCTTTATGAGAAGCAAGTTTTGAAAAGAGCTGAACATGAGAGATACAGGAATATGAAGTTCAAACTGGCTCGAAAAATGGCAAGCTGGAGAATTTCTCTGGTAATAACTGAGAAATCTTTCTCCAAAAATTAAATTCAGTATTTTTAAGAAGCTATGGGAATCTGCCAACATCAGGAATTCTCAGCTCCAGCCTGCTGAAGGAGCAAAAAATCCAAAGTCAAATAGCTTTCACTGCAAACATAAAACACTTAAAATAGAACAAATAGAATTGTCTACAAATACTGCAGCATGAGTAAGTTTGGGCATATACTGTATATAGTAGCACATAAACTGATTCAGAATTTGTGGATGCCTGTAAAGGCTCTTAAGCTTTGTAAAGGAACTGTAGATTTTCTGGTAAAGATATCTAACTTCTTTAAAGTCTCTCAAGTCATAGAATCTTTCCTTGTAAATAAAGAGGGGGGGGGAGATAAGATTTCCATAATAGGGATTACTTATGCTTTAGCAGCTCTCCAATTCAGTCAATAATGTCTGCATTTCTAGAAAAACTATCAGCTTGAATGTTTTAAAAAAAGTTTTTATGAACACACCCAACTTGTTATAGGTACTTTACCTTTAATACAAGTTAAAGAATTAAGATGATCCAGCATCCTCCAATTTTTAGGTAAAGAGTTTGTGGGGATATTGGTGGTCAAAAGAGAAGTCTTTAACCACAAATTGTTACCTGATCCTCCTCCCCTTCCCCCGATTCTTTGCATAGGGAGGTGCCAGATAACTAATTCCTATTCCTTGACCAATCTTTGCATAAATTAAATATTCAACAGATACCAGCTTCCATTACAGAATAACCCATGGGGTTGGTTTGTGCCTCCATCCACATCCAAGCACTGAGACAAGGATGCAAACTCCACGTCTCAGGTAGGCTTAGTAAGCACCAGAACTGTCTTGCCCTGTTCACAAGGCAAACTGCCCCTTCAAGCTTCCCTCCCGAGGGTCTCCTCTTCTGCTACTGCCGAAGAGGCCTCTGCTTCAGCACTCTCAGGGAGAGCGTTTCCGCCCACAGCAGCAGTTCATTGATCCGGGCTAGGCCCAGCCCAGCAACCTTGGCACCGTTTACTTCAAGTATCTCATCCCCAACTTCTAGGAATCCAGCGTAGAGTTTAGCTGTACTGGTGTCTGCCATCTCCTGGACATAGATACCTTGTAAGAAAAGAAAATAACAAAAAATTGGATTTAGTGCTTTAGTACGGTAGCCTTTTATTGAAATGTTGCAACTATGGAATGGGGAAAGCGTTCCTTCTGCAAAACCAGAAAAGAGCTTGAGGGAAAACTGAGAGACAGATATAACACTTCTTCACTGAACCTACGCTTATTAGACCTTTATTAAAAACCTACGTTTATTAGACCTTTATTAATCATTTAGAACTTCTAATAGAAAGTCACCATTTTCCCTGCTTTGTGTGAATCTGCTTTTATGCAACTGAGCATTTTCATTCAAAAATCTGCTGGATTTCTTTTGCAACAAGAAATTGAAAAAAAAAAAAATCTGCCACTAGGTTTGTTTCAGCATAATCAACTTGCACCAAAAATCTGGAAGCATGACAAAACTTTTTGCCATCAAAACCTTTTCTGCCTTCATGCATTTACTGTTGTACTGTGCAATTACTATTACTGTTTCTACTGCCGTGATGCATTCTAACTCAGGCATTAGAAATTCATCAATTAGAAAAAATGGAAAAAATGTTTTCACCATACACTAGAAAACGTGTTGGAGTGATGTACTGCTTAAGAACAGGCCTCTAAATGTGTCTTATTAGCACATTTGGGTTACAAAATTTTAATACTATATCTTGCAATTGGCCATTTTTATCCACTTGTTCAATGTCTCACCTTATGTGAGGTTTTTGAGGACCATAACCCCAATTTAAAACAAGGGGAACCTGTATATTATGCTAGTTCTGACCAAATAAACTGTGTTTTGTCATGCAGTTGCCACATTAAATCTGTTCTTAAAACGCAAAATTTCAAATCCCATTCATGCTAAAAGGTCAAGTGATGCACACTAACCATAATGCCATGGATTCTACATCACAGTATAAATGTCAGCCAAAACTGGGGTTATTTATTTATTTATTTAGAAAATTTATATTGCCGCCTACTTGCACATGGCCACTCAAACACCATATAAAAAGAATAAAAATAGCAAGAATAAAAATAATAAAATAATAACCCACCCACACCCACCCCAGCACATTCATACTAGCCGTTTGATGGGCTCCATCCTGCTCTGGGTTCCCCAGGCCCACTGGCAGAACCATGTTTTCAGTGCCTTCCTAAAGAGTGTCAATCTAATCTCTGGGGGATGATGTTCCAGAGAGAGGGAGCCACCACGGAGAAGGCCCTTCTTCTGGGTCCCGCCAGATGCATCTCCTTAGGGGAAAGGACCCGCAACATTCCTTGCCTCCCTGCTCTAATGGGTCAGGTAGATGTGACCGGCAAGAGATGGTTCCTCAGATAACCTGGTCCCAAGCCATGAAGGGCTTCAAAGGTGACAGCCAGCATCTTGAATTTTACCCGGAAGCAAATCAGCAACCAATAGAGCTCCCACAGGAGAGGTGACACATGTGCACACAAAGGTCTGCACAAAACCATGCTCGCTGCATTTTGCACCAACTGGAGTTTCCCGATGCTGTTCAGGGGCAGCCCCATGTAGAGCACGCTGCAATAGTCAAGATGGGAGGTGACTATGGCATGAGTGACCGTGAGTAGGGAAAGGGCATAATTGTCGCACAATCCGCAGTTGTGCAAAGGCCTTCCTGGCCACAATTGCCCAGGAGAACCCCCAGATTACACACAGGATCTGTTTGGGGCAGTGCCGCTCCATCCAAGACTGAAGGTGGCAATTCTCCAGGGGCCAAAGAACCCCAAACCCAGAACCACTTGGTCTTGCCAGAGCTCAGTTTCGATCCATTGCTGGAAAACTGTACACTTCTGTATCTTTATTCAGAAATATTTTTCATTTTAATTCAAGGTGCCCAGCCTTCAATTTGGATTACAATTCCTAGAAATCTGGAGGTTCCTATTATACAAGATGGGCAGCAATACACACCTTTTAAATAAATGAAAAAAATACTTCTGCAATGATGAACCCTTTTTTTTAAAATAAGGCAGGATTTTCTATTATACTTTAAATTAGAAAATCCAAAAAGTTTATAACCCTAGATCCCCAAATACAGCAGAATATAAAGGAATTATGTTTTGCTCTCTTAAAATGAGTTTCACATTTGTCAGGACATCAATACACAACTTATGTTTTTGTTTGTGCTGGAAGCTATTTTATAGGTAGTTACTGGCAATTTATAAAAGAGGACTCAAGTGCACTAGCACAAGCAAACAAAAAAAAAAAAAATCCATCCAGAGAAGTAGCACAATGACTAAGAAAAAATAGTCTAAATCCATTTGTTAAATGTAGTTATTAGTTATTCAAGGCTTCCTGGGAAGGACAGCTCAGAACAAGAAATTGCTTAATTGAGATATATTCCAATTTATTTTGAAATATTTTTAGGGTGGAGGTGTAATGGAAACAGTGTATTCTTGGAACCAGAGTGCTTAAAGCCAGGACAAACATTTGTCAACTCAGTCACAAACACTGCAACATTCCCAGGAGCTTGCCTGGGGACAAAAATCCCTAAGAACACATGTTCCAAATTATTCCCGCCATTTGACCTACTTTAGATAGTCTTTCTCTTAAGAAAAAAAAAACAGAAAACATAAAAACAGTGAGATTCTACCAAATATTTGGTTGTGTTCCAGAGCCTACTTTTAACTAGTGTTGTAGAGCAGGATATCAAAGTAGATGTGTAGCCTAGTGAGGAGCACATATGTGGCTGAATATTTCAAATCTATTTCTTCAGAAACAAAAAATAACAGGGAAATGATTTCAGTGAAGAAAGCAATAATAGATGTGTACCAAACAGTATAACTCAGTGGTTCTAAATCTGTGGTTGGCGGATCGCTGGAGAGGGCTGCAATGTCATTACAGGGGGTCCACGAAGGCTTGAAGAAATGTTATTATTTAAATCTTGAATTAAGTCTTGAATGTCCGTGGCTGTGGTCTGTGGCCACAAAAGGTCCATGGTGACAAAAAGATTGAGAATCACTGGTATAACTGATATAGGCAACTCTGGTTTTGAATGGCAGGGCTGCTTTTACCTTCCATTTGTGTAGCATTCCTATTTTTTGGTATGGCTGCATGGTTTCCTGGATATACATGTGGTTTGTTAATTTCAATACTACACCAAATCATAAATAGCAAGGATTACAAGGATTCATGCAGCCATGGCAGCACAGATAATGCCACGTTAAAAAATGATATGCTTTGAGAGGATGCTTTTTGATGGTTCTGGATTTTTTTTTTTTAAATGAATTAGCAATCAGCACAACTGTTTTATTTGAAAGAGCAACATCACTGTGTTTTGTTGCTGCAACTCAGAAAAGTTAACTAAGGATAATCTTGGCATTACAAAAACAGTGCTTGGGTACATATATCTTGTGGCTAATTTACGATTAGAAAGTTATCATCCTTGGCTTTCAGGGCAAAGCAATTATAAAAGAAGCAACACTCTCATAATTGGCATAAGACCTAGATGCAGAAGTCCATGTGCAAAATAAAAAAAAAAAATAACTTCCAGGTCCAGAAAAATGTTTTAAGTCTAAGTTAGTTTAGAATGTACAGATCAATGAAGAGGGCTAGATTGAAACTGGTTATTTAAGAATGCCTCTGAGGAACAGAATAATGCTATTTTGAGGGATGATATACTTCTAGCTCTATCTGGAATGGCCTCAGTGGTTGTGAAGCTGGACTCCAGAGTAGAGGAAATTGAAGAAACAGTTGAACTTTTGGATTATAAATTTCAAGATATGGAGAAAAAAGTGGAGACTTCACAAGATGATATTCTTATGTTCCAGTATAGACAGATGGAATATGCTTTGAGAATAAGGGGTCTGAAAGAAGATAAAACTCAAGATTTGATGGAAATGGTGATTAATGACTTGGCTGTTATTTTGAATATTGATAAAGAAGAGTTACGTGGGGATGTGGAAAGAATTTATAGAGTTAATTCTTGGATTGCAAAACAGAGGAATTTGCCTAGAGATGTGGTGATATATTTTGCTAAGAAGTCTTTGCGAAATCAGATTCTACAAACTTTTTATAATAAAAGATTTCAGATTGCTGCCCAAGATATTATTATTTTAAAGGAAATTCCACCTAAAATTTTAAGAAGCAGAAAAGATTTTGCTTTTTTAGTAAATGAACTTAAAGCAAGACAAATGCCATTTAGATGGGAGATTCCGATGGGCATTGTTTTGAGCCATGCGGGGACACGTTATAGACTTAATACAGTTGCTAAAGCTAAGGAATTTTATAAAACGGTCCTGGGAGCAGGCTCTCCTTTGCCCATGATGCATAAAGTCTTGAGTGACAAAGAGATGGAACAGAAATCTGAAGGTACAGGGATGATGACTGCTGGACAGGTGGTATGGATGTCTCAACCAGAGGTTAAAGAACAGAGAATGACCCGTGCAGCACATAAACGTAAAGAAAAAGAACAACAGAAAAAAGAAAAAGAAAAAGAAATTGAAGAATCTACTCAGCAAATTGCTTCAGTGCCGGTGGGAGGAGCAAGACCCAAAAGCTCTGCTACATATTCATCAGCAGCAGAATTTGAGCGGATCTTCTCCAGGCTGAAGGCCAAGGGAGATGGCAAAGCTCCTGTCTTGGAATGTTAATGGATTAAACATTCCTCAAAAGAGAAAAAAAATTTACCACTATTTGAAACAACATAACAATGATATTATTTGCTTGCAAGAAACTCATATTACAGCTAAAGATCAAAAATATTTAAATAATCCTCGCTTGGGATCTCATTTTGTATCTCCCGCCCCTGGGAAGAAAGGGGGTGTGGTAATCTATGTTAAACAGAATCTATCCGCTACCTTGTTAGAATCAGATCCTTACGGAAGATATGTTATGCTTGAACTTGGTTTATATGGCAAGAAAATTCTTATTGTGGGGTTGTATGCACCAAACCAGCAACAGGAGCAATTTTATAGGTTACTACATCAGAAAATAACTTTGTTGGACTATAGATCTGTGATTTTAATGGGAGACTGGAATGGTGTCTTAGATATACAAATGG